GCAGGGTGTCGTTAGAGACCGTCACCGCGTTTGGTGGCACCAAAAAGTGTTAGGCCGCCGAATCGCGGTTGATTAGGCAGGCCACTCCACTCGGCAATATATATATGATATCTAGTCTCCATTGCTGTTGTCCCATAACTTTCGAGTTTGTGGCCCTTCTGGGTGATTCTACCGTATCTATCTATCTATCTATAGGTGTATTCCTCTCTCTTCTATCTCTGTGTCTTCCGCATCTATTCGATCTAGAATCTCTATCCATCGGGCACATCGCCAGCCCTCTCGGTCTCTCTCTCCCGCTGCGCGAGCGCGCGACCGCGACGTTTGTAGCGATATACAGAGGGATAATTTCTAGAGAGAGAGAGAGAGAGAGCTATAGAGAGATCGAGAGCTCTGTGGGGGTGTGGGTGTGGGGGGGGGGCGGCGAGAAGACGGAGGGAGATAGAGGGAGAGAGACATGGCGAGTGATGCAGTAGAGAGGGGAAGAGAGGGAGACAGATAAAACAGACAGTAGAACAGAGGACCGGAGGAAAGGAGGGAGAGGAGAGATACATATGTATAGATACATATATATATATATATATATATATATATATATATATATAATATATATATATATATATATACATATGTATATATGTACAATATATATATGGATACAAACATATATACATATATATATATATATATATATATATATATATATACCCTTCGTTTCCACCTACGAAGGTCCCTCCAGATCGATCTGCCCAAGCCACGACTTCTTAGGTCGCCCTACAGGGGTCCTCGACCCAGAATTGTCTTGAACAGTAACAACCTGGTCGACAGGATCAGTCTATGGGAAACACGCAAGGTGGCCAATTTAGCCTGAGTTGGCGATCATGGATTATGCAAGTAACAGGTCCTCTACCAGTGTCACGGTGCAACCATTGGTTGGACACATGGTCCCGCCGACTGTACCCCATGATCCAGTGCAAGGCATCAAGACAAGATTCCAAGTCCAGGTTTCACTACTGTATAATAAAACTGGCATGTATCAAGGCCTTGAAGACACGAAGCCTTGGTCCTTCTTCACAGGTACCGGCATCCCCAAATACTCTTGTTGAGAGATTTCATGAACTCTGCTGCCAGGCCAATCCATCTACCGAGTTCCTGGTCTGACAGCCTGGAATTATGAACTACACCAACTGAACAAGATCTCCTAGCAGGCCCCAAAAGTCCTGGATCTTGGTCTTGGTCCAGGAGACCTCTACTCCCAGAGACTTTGCTTCATTGCTAAATGCATCAACAGCCGTCACTAGGGTTTTCAGAGACTCAGAAAGAATAGCATCATTATCAGCAGAGTCAAGGTCTGTAACCTTGATATTGCCCAGAGTTGCTCCTCAGTGACTTTGGACAGCTCTACCCAGTATCCAGTCCATGCAAGTGTTGAAAAATGTTGGTGCAAGAACACAGCCTTGCCTCACTCCTGAACTAACAGGGAAGAAGCTTGGCAGGCGCCCACCACACTTTACAGCACTTTTAGTATCTATATACAAGCCTGCTATTAATCCAATAATCATTGTTGGAATTCTTCTTAGTCTTAGGATCTCCCACAGTATTTCATGATGCACCATATCAAATACCTTCTTTGAGGTCGATGTAAGCTGCAAACAGACCACTCCCTAAGTCACGTCGGCTCGAAGCACCAGGACTTACCAGGAATTAATCCAGATTGGTCTTCGATATGTCTCAGAAAAATGTGAGCCAAAACCTTGTCCAGCATACTGAGTAGTGTAATGCCTCGGTGATTGCCGTAGTCCCACTGATTCCCTTTCCCCCTCCAGAGAGGGATGACCACACCCCCCAGCAGGTCAGAGGGAATGGTATCAGTCAGCCAGATGGCAAACAGGACAGTATGCAAGCCCCTTGTCATAGGTTTTCCTGTTGTTGCCTCTTTTGCATCAACTATTTTATATTATCTCCTCAGTGTTTGATATAATCAGTAATCAGTTCATACCAGTCATATTTTTCTCACAGATTTAACTCTTCAAACTTATATCGATAAGTTAAGATAAGTGTGAGGGAAAGTTCACAACTTTTTAGAGAATTTACATTATTTATAAACTGAAATAATATTATATAGCCAAAATGTAAAGCCAATCACATAAATTGATATGCCAATAATACAACATCTAAGTTCATTATAATCCAATACAATAACTATACCACACTGAATATCCATCTTTTAGTTTTAACAAATAGCTTGCCACTTTACTCTAAATGTTAACATGCAAGCAACTACATAATGTCAATTTAAGCAAGCTGTTATTTATTATGAAATTAGAGCAAATAATGTCTGTGCTTAAATTGGATATAAGCAATAAATTAAAGAATTCCTTTCTTCACATTGTGGTTTAGGTAAACACACGGTAGTCAATTCAACTCTTTATTGCTGGAGTTACAGAGGTGTGTCACGGTCAGAGTCAAGCCGATGAGTGTGTCTGTCGCTTAGGACTCCGCGGCTTAAATGGGCCAGGCATGATGTTTACTCCCTGGTCAGGTCCGGAGAGGTAAGCGGTGATTGGTGGTGGTGACTGGAACCTAACTCGCCAAACGGTGTGTGTCAGGTCCTACGGAGCGCCGAAGCTTGCCGCGGGCTGGTCACCACAACATGCATTGATGGAAATCATCAAATTATTAGTAAACAAATAGAATTA